TATTGGTTCAGCCAATTAATGTTAAATGTATTGTTGAGGGAATCAAAATCAATCAAATTCAGACCACCATTATTATATGCGTTTAATATGACTGATTTTCTCAAATAATGAGATTTATTTCTCCATAGGAATTTTATTAAAACCTCATTAATTAATTTAGACGTGGGCTTATCCACAAAAAGAGACTGAGTTGCGTAGGCCAAACGAGACAGACCCTCTGCCTTAGTAAGCAGCGTTCTGCCTTTTAGTGACAGATCCCTTTGTAACCAGCAATTGCATTTTTTTGGTGTTTTGGTAATAATAGGTTTGAAGTTTGCTGAGCACCTACATTCATCTTTAGTAATTAGTATACCAAGATATGTTACCCTATTTTTGATAGCAATATCCTCAATTGAAGTAAGAGAGCAATCTTTAATTGGTAGAAATTCGCATTTGTTAAAGTTTAAATTGAATCCCGAAGCTTCAGAAAAAGACTGAAGAATACCCAAAGCCAATGGAATTTGTGATGAATCATTCAAGAATAAAGCTGTATCGTCCGCTAATTGACTACTTTTTATTTTAGTGTTGCCAATTGTGATACCCTTTAACTGACTATTGTTGATATGTGTGCTAAGGAACTGTGTTGCAATTAGGAACAGGTAAGGGGAAACTGGACATCCTTGTCGAACTCCTCATTTTAAAAAGAATCTAGGTAAGTACCATTACTTAATTTGATAGAGCTGTTTCCGTTTATGTACAGCATTTGGACCATCCTGCAAAAAACATCGCCAAAGCCAATTTTTTGTAGAGCCTGAAATAAAAAGTTGTGTTCCAATGTGTCCAAAGCTTTGTAATAATCTAAAAAGAAAATGAAACCATCACTGTCTATTAAATCTGAATAATCTAACATATCTAGTACTAACCGTATATTATTAGAAATGTGCCTTTTCTGCATAAATCCTGATTGTGTTTCGTCAATTATGGAGTTCAAAACATATTTCAATCTTTTTGCTAGGACTAAAGCTATAATTTTATAATCATTATTTAATAATGTAATTGGACGCCAATTGTCTATTAAGAGGGGATCTTTATTTAATTTTGGGATAAGCGTTATTAATCCTTGACATAATGTGGTTGGAAGTAATGTTTTCTCTATACTTTCCTCATAAACCTTTAAAACAAGAATGGTGCTATACTATGACTAAACAGCTTGTAAAATTCCGAGCTGAGACCGTCTGTTCCGGGGGATTTGTTGGCTTTTAAAGAGTTAATAGCTTCCTCTATCTCCTTCAGTGTGATAGAGGCATCACAAAAATGTCTATCCAAGTCACTCTGTCACTTGCACTGAGCAACACCTTCCCTTTAAACTGATTTTTTTAAATGCATAGACCGGCTGAATGTGTCGTACCATGAGACATCCATATGTCCAGTCCCCATTGTGACCTCCAGAAATTAAGATCCTCTACTGATGAGTGACATTCTTGGAGGAAATAAAAATCTGATTTAAATTGTTTGAGATATAAGAAAACAGCCTTTTCTCTTAGTGAGATTTCTTAGCCCTCTAGCATTTAAAGAAACAACAGATAAAGATATGAAACAAAACAAAAAAAAGGTGACTGAAAAATAAATAAATGCAATTGAATAGACAAAACAAATAACTTGTATAGAATTTTAACCGGTCAGGAAATGAACACAAGGATGAGAACCACAACTCAAACAATAGAAAAAATATATTAAAATGCAGTATGAAATTCTTAAGTAATACTTTAAATGAAATTTAAGAACATAAGTATAATACCAGATCTTTTAAGTCATGAGGAGATTGTATCGTAATATACAAACCAGACAAAACACATATCTGAAGCATACTACATATCTGAAGTCTCAATAACTACATGTCCCACCAAACTATAACACGTTCTAGAATAGAACTATTTAAATCTTGTGAAAAGGCAGCGTATTAAATGTCTTACATAGTAATCAAAAATGTAGTACCGCTAGACGAGTGTCTTCAGTGTCCTGGGAAGAACTGTAGACTGATGATGGTCCAGAACATCGAAGAGGGCCAACAAGCCAAAAGGATGGAAGCAATATTAAAGGGGTCATATGATGTTGCTAAAAAGAACATTATTTTGTGTATTTGGTGTAATGAAATGTGTTTATGCGGTTTAAGGTTCAAAAAACACAATATTTTCCACATACTGTACATTATTGTTTCTCCTCTATGCCCTGCCTTTCTGAAACGCGTCGATTTTTACAAAGCTCATCGGTCTGAAAAGCGAGGTGTGCTCTGATTGGCCAGCTATCCAGTGCGTTGTGATTGGCCGAATTCCTCAAGCGTGTGACAGAAATGTTAAGTACTTATCCATATTGTGATGCATGCGGCAGTCTCAACTCTGAGACTCCAACGATGTGAGTAAGCTTCAAGGTGCAGAAGCCGTTTCTCCTGTTCATGCCAGTTAAACTCGACTCTTTTGGCTAGTGACTCAATCGCACCGACTTTGATTTTCAGATCTTTTACTTCGGCACTCATAAAGTCAATCACATCCTTCACCCCAGAAATCTGTCTGGTATTTTCGTTGATTGTTTCTTTCATACTAGCGACCACACGTGAGTTTTCCCCCACGATCTTTTCCAAAGCATCTGAACGATTATTAATCAGCCTCGAAAGCTCCCCGAGTTGTGAGAGGATGGCAGTTGTGTCAGCGCTCTCGGTCTTGCGTTGTTTGATGGCAGGGGACTTACATGGGGTTTCTGGAAGACAGGGGAATTCTTCCTCACACAGCATGAATTCTGCAGAATCAGTATCATAGCTTATGTAGTCATGCATGTTCTCCATCAGAAGTTCTTTTCGGGCTTGACTTGTCTCATTAGCATTTTTGTTAGCATTAGCAGCAGCTTGAGTTCCATTCCTACTTTTTCTTTTCTCGGATTTTCCCATTTTGACAGCTACTATAAATTTAACAATGATGAATATACCGAGCCTGATGAAATCGGTATAAATACGTGTTTAATACGGCAAAATACGCTCGATGTTACAGTCACTGCCCTTGCCGTCCAAAATAAAAGAGAACATCCCAATCGAATGAAGGGATTTGTGGAAACTGTGGTTCCTAATTATTGTGATCCAACATTTGCCTCGCATTTCAGGATGAAAAGACAAACATTTCAGGTGAAGGATAATCCACTTCTTACCTCCGAGACTGTGTTATGATCTATATGACCTTATTATTTTTATTGTGAGTATTAGGCTTATCATTATTGCTGTTGTTGTGCTATGATATTGTAATATTTACCATTATATAATCAGAGGGGTATAGAAAAGTTTATTAACGTGTCACTCCATAATACAATAGCAAAATATATAAATATGTATAGTATTTTTATGTAACATTAATCAGTATTTAGCACACAATAGAAGACATTGCAATTACTAAATGATATTTAGACAGACTTAAAGAAGTTCCAGATCTATACTTGTGCTCTTATTATTTCAGTTATTTTGCCTTTAATGTAAATAAACATGTGCAAACAATATACTTGCTCTTGTGAATTTATTTGGATGTTAATTACATTGTGCGAGCTGTCTCTTTAATACCGCGTGGTTTATATACATGTTGCTGCTGATTGGGCTGACATTTGGCACACCCACCAAACAAGAGAAAACGCATCTCAAACCCCGTTGCACACCGTTTCCAGGAAACATGTTGTTCAAACCGGAAACCGTAGCAAAACGGTGCACACCGGTTTGAGCTTGAACTTGCCCCTGGTTCCATGTGATTATGTATTTAAATTATGCATGAATGTTACCAAACACTATGACAGCGCGATCTCTGTGTGAGATATGTGATTGTTGTCATATTTCTATAAAAATCTAAAATACATGTTTGTATTAAAGTAAAAATGGATGATAAATACACCTTTCGTATGGAATTAAATAGCAAGCACTTTAAGTGTCTTGTTCATCATATTTATTTTCATATAAAAGCAACAGAACTGAAATCATATCATGTTTATTAGCAATTAGTTTATTAAAGTCAGTGACTTCTCTCATAAAACGGCATATTTTCGTGGCAAACTCTAAAAATGGTTCAATCCAAACGTATTGTTTAGTGTAAAACATGTTGAAGATTAGCAGATAGGCTGTCGATTCATTAAATGATTAGCCGTTTCCTATAAAAAGCTGTTTATTCTACGTAGTAAAGCCTCTCCTCCATTGACATCCATTCAAAAAAAAAAAAAAACCGGCCTCTGGTCGCCTTTCCCATGTACTGCCAGACCAGAAGCGTTAGCTTTAGCCGTCACGCTTTCTCGGCTAATGGTTGCAGGCTTGCCTTCTAGTGGCTTTGGCCATGTGAGTGCAGCGAGTTTTCCTACAGGGGGCGCTCTGTGGCCCAGAGACGCGATTGAACAACATGAAAATCATTTCAAATATATATTTACAATTCTTCAGCAGCAGGGTTGAATAAAACAATCACACCTGAATAATGATACAAAGAAAGTTTTATACACATTGAACTGACAAAATACAGTGGAGAGTTATATCCGGGCCGCGCTAAGCCCCGCCTACTTTATATTTGCTTTCCATTCTAACCGCTTATTCTATGTCTGCTGGTAAATGCGTCGTTCTGATTGGCTCAGAGTTGCGTCGGAAAGCGAAAATAAGCATAATTTAACCGCGAAGGCGTGAATAATGTATTTTTTGTTATTCAATATAAATTATAGGTTTAAATAGCGTGATACATAGCTATTGTATTTACTTAAAAGCAATATTATCTAAGCACATTTCCAACAATATTAATACAATAATATTAAGAAGAAAATTAAGCCTAGTTCCACAGTACTTTTGTCTTTCCTGGTAATTTTAGTTACAGATGTAGTCACTAAATTAATAAATTATAACATGCAATATATTAAAAATGATAATGTAATAACCTGTCAATTTAGCTTATTTTATTCGTTGAAAAGGGTATATAATCCCTCCGTTTGTCGTATGGTGCGTCTCATTGTCGCCAGCAGAGGGACACATTGTCTCTCACATGTCGCTTTGTGTGAAAGACAGTATTTTGCGATATATCCTAAACAACAGCGATGGCAGTGAGAAACACTTGATAGATTTGGAATTGAGATATGAAGACTCTATTTATTTGTTTAACAAGACGTTGTATATGCCGGTGTTTTTGCTGTGGTGTTCAGGTTGAGTGTTGGCTGAACACAGGCAGCTCCAGCTGGACAGATTTGAACGGTTAGTGTTTCTTTTTCAAGCCACCCAGTGCAGTTAATTAGTGCACACTCTGCCTGTTGTCAGTTTAATAACTGAATAAAACATATACGTTTTAGGAAGTCTTACATATTAATAGACGCATCTTAATTAATCCTCCATATTATGGTTGATATGTTCAGACTATTTTTATTAATTAAACAATAGCTCTCCAAACCTACAGGGAATATTCTATTTATGTAAAGAAACTCCCATATGGTAAATTATATAGTTTTTCTGGCCAAAATATATGTTGTAAACAGTTACACTCAATGAAATATGTTTTTTAAGTTAATAATATATTTAGTCAATATATACAGCCAGTCTTACAGTAGCATATAAGCTAAATGTGTTGATGACAGAAGTTTTTCCTTCAGATGTGACGTATGTGAATGCAGAGGTGTAAAGTATTGGAGTAAATGTAATTAGTAACTGTACTTGAGTATCTTTTTCGATACTTTGTAGCTGTACTGAGTATCAAAGATATTAGCAACTTGTACTCTTTACTCCACTACATTTGAAATGAGTGTTGCAGTTACATGTTACATTTTACATGGACCTAGCTTCTTTTCTGGCTAGCCAACAGAGAACATTAAAATATCTGTTTTGGGAACGTTCTGGGAGCTAGAATTGTTAGCTGGGTATAAAATATGTGTGTTCACACAATTCACACTCCAATTGGAACAATTGAAAGTACTTTGAAGATTTTGCATGTTTATATTTAGTGTTTTTCCATGTTAACACACTTAAATCTGTTTCCCTTGCACAGGCCAAGAAAATCCCTGCTGAAACTATCTGTGATAATAGCGATTTAAGGATGACAATCTCAGTAATTCTCGGCTCAAACACTTTTGAGCACCCTGAGACTCTCTGGCGCTGATGCTCGGGTTATTTTGGGAAGGCTGGATGTGTCTGCTGGAGGGTGTGAGGACGTTTGCTCCCGGTGAGAGTCAGGTCAGTGTTTACGAGCGCAGACACTGCAGCAGTTATCAGAGGAGGCAGATGCTCATTACCACCGCATGAGAGACAATTATTACACTATCAACATCTGAGTGATGCTTTAACTTCATGTCAAATTCAATGTCGGCGCATTTATTCTGGAAATAGAATGAAAATGATTGAGCAAACAGAAGGATGAGGGGTCACAGGAGGGCCTGTGTTTTGCTGTGTGCACTTGCATTTCTATATCTATAAATTAAAGTATCCACCTTATTTTAATGTATTTTAATATTTTTTGTAATCATAAACACACTGGTTTGTAATGCAGATAGCTTTGCCGATTACTGAACTCTGTTTACCTCTAGCGGCCCATGAATAAATAAAAAAATAAACACACAAATAAATATATATATATATATTCTGCATTATTTTTAGTCTGGACTGATTTGGGTTGAAGTGTCATTAGAACCAACAGCCTGACATCATTTAGAAAATTTTATACATTTTTATTTCAGTTTTAGTTACTTTAGTACATCAAATTAAACTAAATAACAAAGAAAAATGTTGGCAACTAGATGAATTATTCTTTTTTTATTATTTTTATATATTTAATATATTTTACTTTTTCAGTTAATGTTTACTTTATTTCAAGTAATTCAAGATTTTAGATTTAGTTAACTTTAATAACCCTGTGTGATGCTTAGATGTGTTCAGATCTGGTAATTTATTTAAAAATACATAAAAACAGATCATGATCAAATACGTGTTCAAAAGAGATAATGATGTAAATACATCTGCTATGCTCATTTTTATAAAAATAAATGTCAAGGCTTTAAATGGAAAAACACTGCTTACTAAATGTTGATTTTATTAAATAATAAGCACATATAAATATTTTATAATATACTATCAGCATCTGTGCACAATCATTTTTAATAAATCCTTATGTAGCCATATAGACAATCATGCAGCTGAGAGTTTTTTAAGTAACAAGCTGAAGTTCAATACTTAATGTTAGAGTTTTGAGATCACTAGAAATACTAGAAGTATTAATGATGCTTGACTCTAGTCAAATATGAACGTGCTGTTGCTCTGTAGCACCATTCTCAGCAGCACTGCATCGACAGCAGAATTAAGATGACCGTTAGCTGGATAAACTCACCATGAAGACATGGTGAGACAAACACAATTATAAACGCAATTTTCAGATCTCTCCCCAAACGATTGGAGCAGGAGCAGGTCTAATCTGGTTTGCTCATTGGATGTTATGGGGTAATTTTAGAGGCCTTTTGGGCCGCCGCGCGTCCAAGTCAGAAACTCCGGCCAACAGATTTGTTCCAAATGGAAAAGCTTGGTACCAGATGACTCTGAGAGGAATGATAGATCGTTGCGCGGGAGATGCAGCGCTTTCAGGCCTTGCCAGGATCTCCTGGCAGAGAGGATGCTGGGTAACGGGCAGAATTCATGCTTCAGGTATACAAATGTGTCTAAACATAGATTACCTCCTTTAGTCCTGTCAGTCTGCACAAAAAATCCCATGATGCAGCAGTTTTGGTAACGTCTGCTTTTTTCGCTCATGCAAACGCTTCCTCAGACGCCTCAGACATCAGTCTGAATGTCACACACGAGCCGTCAACATGACGAGATCAAATGGAGACTAATAGCTGCCGTCTGCAGAGGAACTGATGCGATTATGTGTCAACAACAGCGCGTCTCTCCGCTGGCACTAATTGATCAGACGTGATTTCCCATCATTCCTGCAGGGAAAACTCGCGTCCTCAGTGCTGTCATGGTTGTGGTTCAGGATTAAGGTCAAAGGTCACGATTATTTATGTAGCTTTATAAAATACAGATCAGCTTCATAGAAATAAACCGGAAAACAATCATTTAAAAAAAGCAACAAATTAAATTTCAGCTGTAAAGCAGCTCTAAAAAAGACAATAACATCATTATTAAATTCACTTTAGTTCAATGATTCAGTTCAGTTCAAAAACTGTCAATATTGACAATAGTGTCATTAGCTTAGTTCAATAACAGTGTCAATGTTGCAAAATTAATCAATTATGAAATTATTTAAGCAGTTAATCTACTCTACAGAAGACAACAATGCCTTTATTCAGCTCAAATTAAGTTCAATGGTAATTCAGTTCAGTTCAATAACAATATCAGTGTAGTGAAATTAATCAATTATGAAAAATTCCATTTCACAAGCAGCTCTACAGATCATTATCCAGCTCAGTTTAGTTCAAATTTTGTTTCAATTTACTTCAGTAAAATACCTCAATAAATGTAAAACAAATGGAGGGCAATTTTGTCATTATTCAACTCAATTCAGTTATTATGTTCAATAACAGTATCAAGGTGGCAAAATTAATCAATTATGAAAGAGATTCAAATTCAGCTGTAAAACAGTCATTATTAAATTCAATTTAGTTCAAAAACTGTTGATGTTGTAAAGTTAAACGATGAAATTTCAATTTCAATTGAGCTGTAAATCAGCAAAAAGACAAGTGTCATTATTAAATTCAATTTAGTTCAATAACAGTCAATGTTGCAAAATTAATCAATTATGAAGAATTTGCAGCTGTAAAGCTGTTCTACAGAACATTAGTGTCATTATTCAGCTCAATGCTGATTCAATTCAGTTCGATGTGTTAATACTGCAAAATTCATCAATGCTGAAAGAGATTGAATTTTAGCACAAGCAGCTCTACTCAAGACAATAGAGTCATTATTTAACTCAATGTGGATTCAATTATATATTAGTTGTCTTTTAAGGTCACAGTTAGAACTAGATTTACAGTCAAGACATTATTTTGTACTGTAGATGTTCTAAAGAAGTTTCAGAAAAGATACATATCATTAATTATTTAGTAATTGGTGTCGTGTCACTGCCACTCATAAATCCTCTCTGTGGCCTCACGGGATAGTAAAATGTCCATCATATGCACTACTACTACTTCAGAATCACAGCAGAAGTAGGTCATCCGGGTACTTTTTGCCTACTCTTTCATAAGTACTATGAATTCAGACATACTACTTTTGTCACATACTGTTTTTTTGCCTGCTATATAGTAGGGAAGTATGTTATTTCGGATGCAGCCTCAGTTATTTGAATCCCGTTGACCTCAAGGCCAGATGTCAAAGGTCAGATTGAGTGTTATGATTCAAGGTTAACATTTGTTTTAGTTACATATGTGTGTGAAAAGACCCACAAAGCAGTAAAATCTGACGGAACAGAGAAACAGCTCATGGTTGACTCACCTGAATCTCTCTCTCTCTCTCTCTCTCTCTCTCACTCTCACTCTCTCGCTCACACACACACACACACACGTCTGCCACTGTTCCAGTCTGCTCTAGTTTTCATATGCAGCTATTACAGTATTCACTCAAAAAAGGCCTACATTTAAGATTTATGTTTTTGGATTGCATAAAAAAAACCATGCATTTGGATTACAGTTTTAACAAACTAATAAATTGTATATAATACATATTTGTCAGTCATATATCACTGACACGGTTCAGATTTCTGCACTCCAAATAAATAAATGCATTGTTTATTATTAACTATTTGCATCTATTTAATTTCATTTACATAATCATAGTTTTAATAAAATCTGATTTATTTAAATAATCAATATGCTTTTATTCAAATTGGTTAGAATAAGCATAATAATCAGCATAAATCTGTTCATTGTGAAAATTCAATTTATGTTGTTAAAAAGTATGAGGACTGAGATAGAAACTAATTGGATTTACTGATGCTAAAAATAAACCTGCTTATTTAAAACATGTACACTTTTGCATTAATCTGACATTCAAATCATTGAAGTAAGACTGACAAATATGAGTCACATTAAGTTCATTAGTTTTTGTTAAATATGCATAATCCAGATGCATGGAAATTGTATATGGAGTTCAAATACATAAATCTTATATTAAGGCCTATATACTGCTTGGTGTTTTTATGCAAGAGTAAAACATTTCTTCCTAGGTTGCATGTTTAATTATTTTGCTTTTCTTTATGAATAAAGCAGCCTGATTAACTGTGAGTGACAGAGGCAGACTGAGTGTTTCACTCACACGTATGGCTTGATTTTGTCCCGTCCAGCTCTCTGAGGATGTTATTTGTCGATCAGGTGGATGTGTGTCTGGGTTATTTCAGGGGTGAGAGACGACATCCGCTCGGCTTTCAGGCTTGAGTTCACGATGCCTTCCGTCTGATATAATCCCTCCGGGGACTCCAGCGTGCTTCTTACACTCAGTGAATCTCGTCTTCCAGGAAACTCAATGAAAACACGTCGGCTTTGAGTCGTGTGACAGAGCAGCATGAAATGTTAAGCCTCCACAGGCTCGTCTGCTGAACATGTCTGTCATGCAACATGTCTTTGAGCTGCTTTAACTGCAGAGAGGACTCAGTCTGAACTGTGCTGAAAGTTCTTTGCAGTCAGATCTGGAATCATATGAACGCTGATTGTGTTTAGGACTCTTTTTGTTCAGATCTGTTCATTTATTTAAACGCATTAAAATTGCTTTCATAAAATATAAACTAGGTGTGTTACAGATGCATAAAAAAATGCATGGCCACTGGTGCCCAGAAATGTAAAATCAAAAAATGTCAAGGTGCTTGTGGTGAAATGTAAAAAGCCTTTAATAAATTGGGTTAGGCATTAGTTTTAATGATTCGAGCCCAGTTTTGCCTTGTAATGTTTTGATTTTACATTAAAAATGCTGTTCAAGCAGATAATGAACAGATAGGAACATGTTTTAAATTCTTGAATTAAAATGTGAGGTGTTAAGGAAAAAATATCTAGGTTGTGTAACCATCCTGAGTTTGTAAAAATATATTTATTATTATGATTATTATTATTAAAAATGCTATAAAAACTTTTATAATTTTTTTTTAAGTATATTATATTTTTAAATATATGCATAATTCTAGTTTTATTTTAAAATGTAACATGAAAACAAACAAACAAGCAAACTTTTTCCCTGGTAAATCAAAGGCAGAATATGTCTGCCAAATAAAGACATGGCAAATATATAGTAAAAGTAGTATTCAGAATTCAGCATTTAAAATATCTAGGTGGTGTAACCATCTTGAGATCATAAAAATTGCTTGCATTTATTATTATTATATATTTTTTTTAATGTAAAGCAGTTGTTTAAAAATATAAATATTTAAAAGAAAAATGTCTGGTATTTTATAGGCTAAACTGAAAATAACATGAAAAAAGAAAAGCAGTTCTAACAACCTGACACATTCATTTTAATCTATAGATTTTTCTTGTTTATGATCTCCAACATCCTTATTTGTCATTGATCTCGTGTGTGTGTGTGTGTGTTTCTTCCCTCTTAATCTCCATGAGATCATTCCTGTCACATCTGACGAGAGCTGCTTTATGCTTCAGCTCTGAAATATTAAGTGGATTAATGGAGAATTTAAGAGCGTCGGTGTCATAAATATAAATAGGAGTTTTACAGACAGTTGAGATCAGGCCAGTGCATGTAGACTGGATTTGCCGTGACACTGCTGCAGGCGTGTGTGTGTGTGCGCGTATTTCATGCAGCGAAGGTCAAACACGAGGGAAAGCAGAAGTTCAGTGCCTTTTAGGCTTGACTGACAGGCTGAATGAGGCCGTTACTCTGCTTTAATATGGCAGTGTGGGAAGAGCAGCATGTGCTCTAGTGGTTAGTGTATCTGATCTGAGCGAGAAACACCTGCCGTCTTCATCATTAGTGCAGAAAGGCCTTTGACTTTATCTCCTCACAATCCACCTTTCAATATGAATGAGCTCACGCTAGTTAGTGATATTTGCCAAGGCAAAGATTAGCACATGGTTATGACTAGGGATTTTTCCAAACTCCAAATTAAATTTCAAATGAAAGTTCAATGTGTGTGTCGTCCTGCAATATCTAGACACTAGATGATCAGGACTCTTCTCATGCTGGAAAGCACATATCCACCACATAAGAAAAAAAAAACATGATTTGGTAAATCATATTTATGATATAAAATGTCATAATTATGAGATGAATCCAAATAATGGCATCCAAGTCATAATTATAAGATAAAAATCATAATTATAACAAAAAGGTGAAATTATGAGAAGTCAAACTTATGAGGTAAAAAGTTGAAATTATGAGATAAAAATGTCTAAATTGAGATAAACTCAATTATGACAAAAGGCTGAAATTATGAGACAAGTCAAATTTATGAGGTTGAAATTATGGAGATAAACTGAAATTATGAAAAATATATATATAGATTAAAATGACACAGTAAGTCATAATTATATGTTTAAGAAAGTTTAAAATCACAAAAAGTTGAAATTATGAGATAAAAGTTTAATTTATGATAAAGAGTTGAAATTATGGGATAGTCATAATTACAACAAAGTTGAAATTATGAGGCAAGTCAAAATTATGAGATAAAAAGTTGAAATTATGGAGATAATTGAAACTTTGAAATTAAAAACTTGACATTATGAGATAAAGAGTAAAAATTATGAGACAAGTTGACATTGTGAAATACTACTATAAGTTGAAATTGAGATCAATTCAATTATGAGATAAAAAGTAAATTATGACAGGTGTGATACAAAAATTCAAACTTATGAGATAAACTGTAAATATGAAATACTACATTGAGTTAAAAAGTCTAAATTATGAGATAGTTTAAATAGTCTTAAAAAGATAAATAGAAAATTGAAATGATAGGATAAAAAGTTGAAAAGTCAAAATGAATAGATAAAAGTGGAAATTATAGGGAAAAGTTATAATTCTGACATAAGCACTCAATTTCGTTGTCGTTTTTGGCATAATTATGATATACGTTAAAATTATGATTTACCAAAATAATTTTTTTAATGTTGCGGATATTGGACACAAAACTGGAAGAAACACAAAAATCAAGTTTTACCTTTTAATTCCATTCATCAAATCTGAATCCCTGTCATATTGGTCCATAATACGGGGAAATAATAGGCTAATGCTAATTGCTGTCTCACTCATAGAGGGAACACACGTTCTGGCATGTGTTGCAGCTACCCACAATCCCTCTGGAGACCTCTGAAACATCTCTGTTGTTTTCTGACGGACTCTGAAAGGGGACAAATTGACATGTTGAATGCAGGTATTTTAAGGAGTCCAGATGGTACAAATTCCCATGCTACCGTCTGTAAATAAACTCCACGGCCGCTGTCAGCTCGAAATTGCTTTTATCGGAGGTGAGGAGCTGAGAGTGAGGAGATCCCACTTCAATAAAGATTTCTGGAACAAGAGGAACATTCTAGAATCCCACTGAAACCATATCGGTTAGCACGTCCTAAATGGAGTGAGACGAGAGAAACGAGAGAGAGGGAACGAGTGGGCGACACAGACGCTCAGGAAGAGTGACTGACAAAATAATGGATTTTTCTGCCGGCCTAATGAATTAAAGCATATAAATCGGGTCTTATGAAATCAATGGGTGAATAAAGCTTATCAAATGAAGACAAAGGAACAGCGTCTGCCGTGTCCGCTGGAGATCATTAGCTTTGACGGATGCGTGCCGTTCTGAGGGCGTATCTATGGGAAATAGAGCCTCAGACAACAATCGATACGTTTGACCTTGTAATGTTTAACCAAAATGTCATAAATGGACCTTCTGGTGAAACAGCAGTTAAAAAAGTTGAAATTATGAAATAAAAAGTTGAAATCATGAAATACTAAGTAAAATTATGAGATAAAAAAGTTAAAATTATGATCTATCCAGTCATTTATCCTGCATGAACAAAACAACAGTGGGAATTATGATATACTAAATCAAAATTGAGACATAAAGTTGAAATGATGAAATACTTAAGTCCAAATTATGAGATAAAAAGACGACACTATGAGATAAAAAAGCTGAAATTATGAGATATAAAATTGAAATGATGACTTATCCAGTCAATTACCCCGCTTCAACAAAACAACAGTGGAAATTACAAAAATACTAAATCGAAATCGAGATATAGAGTCGAAATTATAAAATACATAAATCCAAATTATGAGATAAAAAGGCGACATTATGAGATGAAAAAGGCATAATGACATAAAGGTTAAAATTATGAGATATAAAGTTGAAATTATGACTTCTCCAGGCATTTATCCCGCAGTGGAAATTCTAAAATACTAAATCAAAATGATGAGATATAAAGTTGAAATGATATTAAATTCAAAGTATGAGATAAAAAAGGCTGAAATTATGAGATATACAGCTGAAATTATGAGAACGAAATGCTGAAATTAAGAGATATAAAGCTGAAATTATGAAATGCCAAATCAAAACAATGAGTAAAAAGTTGAAATTATGACTCCTTAAACTCACTGTAATCTGCCGTCACTTTTGAGTGCCACGCCGCATCTAATCCATCAACATCCAATCAACTGATGCATAGAACCAAGTCCCGCCCTACATTTTTTTAGAAAATGGATATAGATCACAATATGGAAGAAATTATTTGCTGCTACTTCAGTTTCAGCATGACTTTAAATGCACAAATCGAGGTCAAATATTTGTTGATGGATTGAAACGACACCATTTCAGATGTTCAAAAACTGCTAGTGGAACCAAATGCAATGAAAACGGTTCAGTTATATTATATTCATAATAAGAACCAGTTCTCAAACCTTGTGTAGGCTCACAGCGAGCAGTTTCCTACAGAGACACACAAGCAGAAAAGAGCTTCACAGATGGAGAAGAACTGGACGAGGACAAACTCCAGTTTTATTCAGACAAACAATTTCTCAAGGAAGCATTTTACAGCTAAAACTAAAAATAAAAAAGGAAGAGAGAGAGAGAGAGAAAAAAAGAGAGAGAAACAAAACAAACCAACCAGAGCAAACAAATCAGCCCAGAACAAGAACATTCCACTGGGACTCTCGATCAGGAGGGGAAATGACAGGAAAACACGAGAACAGAGAGAAACCACCGAAGTGGTGCCGGCGTCTGCAACACGTCTGATGTTACTCAAAACCAGCAGGTTCACTTTTCAGATCTGACCCAGAACTGGCTGATTTTTGAGATCATGGACCACGGGCGCTGAACTCAAAACTCTCCTGTTTTGTAGTTTAGTGACTTTTGAGCACATAATGTATAAAATACACTCTTAAAAATAAATTTTTCAAAGGGGGGTTTCACAGCAAAGCCATAGAAGAACAATTTTTGGTTTCTCAAAGAACCTTTAAGTGAATATTCTTTTGAAAAATCCGTGGAACCTTTCAAAGACGATAAAGGTTCTCCACTGAACCATCAATGCCAATATAGAACTTTTATTTTTAAGAGTTTAGAATGTTTAATTTCAATAATTTAATTTCACCTCATTAAATCTGATCAGCCACCTAGCTATCGGTTTTGGCTGTTAAAAACCCACATTGGGTCAGATTGAACAGTGAATCCGGTGCGAACAGCGGCACTGTGACGGTGGAAAGAGAGAGAGACAGACAGAGGAGGGTCTGTACACTGAACTCAGGACCACAGGAGGGTTTTTACACATCCAGACTCAGGCAAGGCAAATGGACGAAGCCACATGACGTCATTAATTACATCTCCAGTTGAACATTCAGCATTTTTCTTGTTTTTTTTACACATTAATTAGTCTTTACAGAGTAAAAAATATAGAGAATTAACAAAGGAAACTCTTGCAAATATGACCATCGACTGTTTCATCTGTAGCTGCAGGTGTGAGCGGTCAGATCGCCTGTGTATGTGTTTGCGGTAAAATATGTGAAAACATCGGGACAAAGCTTTTATTGCACCTTTGTACAGGAGCGAAGCAGGCAGTGGTGGGACGGGCCAGGGGAAGTTTACAATTGCAGGCCAGGCATCAGACACACAGCAGCACTAGAGGAGGGGAGAGGTCACCTCAAAGGTCAAAGGTCATTGTTATCATCAGAAGTCCATGATGCAGTTCTGCAGAGATCAGATACGGGGTATGTGTGTGTGTGTGTGTGTGTGTGTGTGTGATGCTCTCAGCTTATCATGACAACAACTGATTTCATCTGAGAATGTGATCGATAAACAGAGAGAGAGAGAGAGAGAGAGTCAGAATGAAAGAAGGATGGACTTCCTGTAGCTTGATGCTCATATTTCAGGATTCATGATTAAACAAAATAAAACCAAAATCACAATATGGCTTAATTTAAATCAAAAAGGCTGTGATTTAATTAGCACATTTATATTTTTGTGTGTTTCAGATTGAAACGTGACGCTGTGTTGATTTACACGTGAGCAGCTCAAAAAATGGCTTTCTGCCAAAATAAAAGCTTTAAGGTTTAATTTGTAAAAATTAAGAAATGAAGAAATCCATAAACAGCACTGTCATTTTTATAGTTTATATTATTTATAACAATATAATATTATTAATAATATTATTTTCTTAAATATGCAATTTAATATTCTACACTGAAATAATATTTAATATTGCATTTAATTTAATACTGCATTTAACATTTCATAAATATTCAAAATCGTGCAGCCCTGTTTTAGGGTATCCTAAGAAAAAAACCCTTGTGTTGTTCCAAACCTGAAAGATTTTGTCTCCCCACAGTTCTCAAATCTCTCCAATTACATGAAAACTAATGGTGTCTGTTGTCATATCTCATGTTTTAAACATATTTAATAAAATACAAATGAGATTCTAGAAGTGCATTTCTTAAACGCAATGGAAATGCAATTCCTTTTAGTGAAAAGTTCTTAAAACCATCATTTTATCTTTGTTTTTTCACTATAAAGAACCTTTTGTGGAATAGATGTTAAAGGTTCTTTGTGGAACCCTTGATGCCAATAAAGAACCTTTCATTTCAAGACTGTATGATGCTTTTATGTTTTTTTTTGTTTAGTCTGCTTTCACTGTAATGTATAAAAGCAGTGAAAACTTTCTTCAAAAACCTGTTCATACAGGTTTAGAACAACATCAGTGTCAGTAAATGATTTTTGCCTGATTATTCACTCCTCTTGATCTATTAAATGTCTCCTACTCCAAGCTAAACCACAATTTACATGGGAATGAAAAGGTGCAGTGAGGAAAACACAGGAAAAAAGAATAGAATAAAAAGGTGTTAGGAAGCCATAAGCCCATCAGTTCGTTCCTCTGTTACCCATAATCCCTCAGGAGCACCCAGAATCTTCCCCTCTGGGTGCAAAATGCCTCGTAAAATCCATCTGCAGCGGTGTATATGATCACTGAGCAAAACATCTCGTTCTGCGGAGAACTCACCGCTGACATGAGCGAGAAAAGACATGCCAGAAAGCGGAGAAACGAGTGTGTGAATATAGTCAGAGGAACAGAACTAAGCTGCTGTGATCTGATATCAGCACTAAACTCTTCTGCAGTGTTTGTGTTTGAGGATCGTGGATCATCCGATCCGGTCTAACAGCGGTGCATCACCAGTTCCTTCTCTATAGGAGCCGAGTGGGGGATTGCGGGAATGCTGAGCAAGTGAGAAATTCAGAACTGTATGCAAAGCAAAAGCAGAAAACAGCAAGCGGAGGTTGTGATGCCTGTCAGAAGGCCTAGATTCTGCCGTATGAACCTTGCGTGTGCTTATAAAACTGTTTACGCTTGACATATCCAACTATTTTGATCAAATGACGAATGCAGAATGAGATGAAGATTCGAGGCGGACGTGACTCCAGGGCCCAGAGTCTCATGGATGCGCCAACGACGGCAAATTCATCTGCCGACAGCCGTCACGCGGTTTCATTCGCCTTCTGTTTTTCAGCGAGAGGAAGCATTCGGTAATGGTTTGAAAAGGTCAGGCTGACGAGCCGTTTGATCGCTTCTGAATTCTGTCAAGCCGAAACTCTCCAGCTTCAGCGAACGGATCGCACAGAGCGCCGACGCAAAGGTCACGATCCACTTAAACACTACGAGACGGTGAAAGAAAAACAGAACAAATCAGAATGAAGGACTCTGAAACTAAATCATCAGCTGAGGACAACAAACAAAGGATAATATCAGGCTCACAGCCGGCGCGCTCAACGCTGCGCTCACATCACGTCGCAATTACTGCAATTACCAGATTCTGTTCACATGCTTGGACACAGATGGTATTTCTTACTATGGCATCCGTGATAGTAAACACATGAATTTATGCTCAGATTCCTTTGCAAAATGTTGAAAAACAAAGAAAAGGCTCCAGGCGAAACTGCCTGCAATATAATGAAATCATATCAAACAAGCAGTCAAATAACTTTAGTCATTTTGGTTGTTTTACATGATGTCACAATGGTAAACACTGCGAAAAGTGCTGTTCTTCCTCAGTATTTTGATCTTGTTTTCCCGTATAAACATCTAAATATTCTTAAATCAATTTATATTAACTTCAAATCCAAAATGACATATTAAGTCTTGTTTTCTAAGATTGTTTAAGTTTATGCTTAAAACAAGAACAACTATCTGCTAATGGGGTCAGAAAAATAAACACACAAGATGATTTTTCTGACCCCATTTGCAGATATTTGTTCTTGTTTTCAGCATAAACTCACTTCGAGTCTTGTTTTCAGACAAATTTAGCAAAATGAAGTGAGTTTATGCTTAAAAGAAGAACAAATTGTCTGCCATTAGAGTCAGAAAAAGAATCTTGAAGTCAAGTTCATTAAAATGAAGATTATTTTTCTGACTCCACTGGCAGATGTTTTTCTCCTTTTAAGCATAAACTCAATATCTTATGTCATTCTGCATATCAAGTAAATGAATATTAGAAAAGTTGCCTGGGCAACTAACCGAAATTAATTAAAAAGTACTAAAATGACTAAAACTAAAATAAAAAGCTAGGTCGAAATAAATAATATTAATTATCCATTTATTTTAAAATGTAAAAATATTAATGATAAAAAAATAAAAATGACAAAATTATTAAAACCATTAGAAATTATTTTTGAAAATTGAAATTAAGCTGCAATAAAATAAAATATAAATGTTGTATTGGCAACTGAAATAAAATTTGTGCTATAAAACAAGACAAAACACACAACCCGACTGAAGCTCATCGCTCTGTGCACATTTACACCGTTTCTTGTGTTGTTTTTGTGCACATTTTACTCAACTAATACAGTCTTACATGCATTAATTACAAGATCATCCTGCACAAACTCTCTCTCATTCTCACACAAAAGGAAGGGCTTTCAGGTCATTTTTGCATGCAACAAAAAATAAAAATAAACCAAAAAATGCATGAGCCAGTGCTTTGGGAGAAATTCACCATTTTCTTTCTCCTGCAATCTCATTACCTTGTTGCTCTTTGCTCAGATTTGAGATTTTAACTCGTATTGTAGCATCTGTGATAAGTTGTAGTGTGTCTCACACAGAGCGAACATTAATGCTGTGAGTTCACTACGATCCGCAGCCTCTTGTGGCAGATTTAAAACATGAAAGCACAATGAGCTTCGGTCTTGTAATGCGTGTTTGGCTTAAGCCCACCTGATCCTCGCCCTCGAAGGTCTCAGACGTCGTCTCCTGCATTCAGCAGTGGCGTTCATGCACATCACCACTGAGAACGAACCCTTTAAAAAGATCCTATGTAGAACTGGTATGAAGCCCCCGAAATGCTGAACAATCTCGTCATGCACGTCTACCGTCTAGAGCCGGTCTAGAATACGCAAGAGCGATCCAGGAGAGTTTGAATGAGGGAAAACAGAGGACAGAACATGAAGAGGCGGCTGAGGAAAGAGAGAAAGAGAGAATGAGAAGGACAAGTTTAGATCCAGAATGAGAAGAAGGGGGCGTGTCTGAGGGGGCGGAGCTGGAATGGCTTCAGAACTGTGCATTTTAACATGGGTCCCTGGTTAATTAGTGGAAGATGGGTGGGCGAAGCTACCAGACGTAGCCCATCTCGTCATCCTCTCCGTCTTCGTCGTCCTCAATCGCCCCGCGGGGGGGGAGTCGACCCCGCCTCTCTTTCTGTCGGCCCCGCCCATGCTGCGGAGACTCCTCCTGATCGTCCAGTAGAATGACGGTGCCGCCGCCGCTGCTGCCGAAATCTCCAGACATCTCCTGATCCTCCTCTACACACACACACACACACACACACAGAGGCAGATGAAAGGGAAGGTGTCAGGCGGATAGATAGCGGGTGCACGTGTGTGTTCTGAGGAAGATCATTTATTATATATAAAATATGATATTTTATACATTTTGACAGAGAACTCAAGAAACACTGTTGAATAATGCAGCTTCAGATGTCAGAGTTTGCTGCAGGAATCAAAATGTGTGTGTATATATCAGTGTTGACTAAAACTAAAATTAAACTTTTTCAAAGTAAGTTAAATTAAATACATTAATTACTATTACTATTAAATATTAAAAATAATTATATTAAATATTAAAATAATAATATTAAAAACTTAAACTTGAAAAAAATAATAATGAAAATTTGAAATGTTGCCTTGGCAACTAAATGAAATTAGTTGAAGTACTAAAATTATTAAACTAAGACTGAAATAAAAACAAACTAAAGTTCTATAGAAATATTAAAAATCTACACATAATAAAATTACTAAAATTATTAAAAGTCTTCAGTAATTTCAGTAATTTAAATAACGCTAAAAATACACACACACACACACACACACACACACACACACACATATATATATATATATATATGAAACACTTAAAATAACAAAACTAGAAATGTTGCCTCAATTAACTGAAATAAAACAAAATTATTTAAATGATTTAAAATTATTAAAACAGAAATAATCTATCTATCTATCTATAAGCTGAAGTTGAAGTACTACAATTACTAAAAGTAAAACTGAAATAAAAACAAATTAAAGATATATAGAAATATAAAAAAAAGACAAAATAACAAACACAACAAAAACACTAAAACTTAAACGCTTTGGAAAGCATCAAATGATTTTACAATGCATTTTCGCAGATGTGAGCAATATAGCCAATCACAGACATGTTTGTTGATTTCTAAAACGCAATGGCCAATCAGAGGTGTTTAGGTTGGAATCCACGCACTCACCGCTCCAGTCACCGCTTTTTGTCCAGTGATGAGTTCCATCATGCTCGTAACTTCTTTCTAACAAAGACATTAAAAAAAGTTTCATCGTGTAGTCACATTCATTGTTTTTTTTTTTTGTTTGTTTTTTTACTTTGTGAGATCGTGATGAATGAGTGACAGTTTTTAATAAAT